AGAGAGAGAACTATTTGTTTAATTAATGCTATCAATTGCACATACTTTAGTCAAATAGTATTTATTAAATGGGAGAGTAAATTGTAATTTTAGTCATTATATTTTACTATCCTAATTTTTTCGTTCTCTTCGAATTGCATATTTGATTTTCGTCCCGTATGTTTGCAAAAGATTACAAAAATATATTTTGCATACATAAGGGACGAAATTAGAACTTTTTTTACAAAACATAAAAGACATTTTTATTGCGGAAAGAACCTATTTGTAACAATTTTGCAAACATACTGGACGAAAATAAAAAAAACTCAATTCGAATAGGACGAAAATGTTGAGGTAGTGAAACATATAAGACTAAAATTACAATTTACGGGATTATAAACCCCTTATATACAACTATGTAGAATTAGAAAAAAATTCATTTTATTTGTTATATGATATTAACTCCAATTTTAATTAGGGTACCGTTATTTTAATTTTGTAGGTCGAGTTTCGAGTTTGAAGGAGGTGTTCATGAGTATAAAACCGAAAATATATATTTTGTTCCAAATCACGTTTATTTTCATTTAATAAATAACATGTGGTAAGTTTTACTGTTATAATATTACTTATGAGTTGTCCAACGTCGTTTATATAGGAAAAATATGTCTAATTTATAAGTCTAATGGTTACTTCTTCTTCCACCAATTGGTTTTGGAATGGAACCCCACTTGGGTTTCATCGGAGCTTTCTCTGCTTATGGTGCGTTTCACATGCGTGGGACCGCACTTATTTTTTCTCCCGTTTTATATGGTATCAGAGCCGGTTCTATGTGGGACCGTGCAATGAGGTAACTGTTTACCCAGCATGTTTCTAGTTTTACCCCCGTTTCTTACATGATATCAGAGTCGGTTCTATTCGTGGGACCGTACGATGACGTAACTGTTTACCCAGCCTGTTTCTAGTAGGGTTTGGGCACCGACCAGCTCCGTATTTGGGTTTTTCCCTGTCTTAGTGTGTTTCATCTGCGTAGGACCCGTTTTACCCACGTTTCTTTCATGGTATCAAAGTCAATTCTATTGGAGACCGTGCGATGATGTACCCTTTTATCCAGCCCGTTTCTAGTAGGGCTTGGGCACCAGCTCCGTATTTGGGCTTGGGCTTCTTAAGAATGACTTACAAGTGAGTGGGCGTGTTAGAATATCACTTGTGATCAGTTGTCCCACGTTTATACAAGAAAAATATGCCTAATTTATAAGTCTAATGAGCTACTTCTCCTTCCACCAATTGGTTTTGGAATGAAACTTCACTTGTGCTTCATCTGGATTTTCCCTGCTTATAGTGCGCTTCATCATGTTTCTTACAGTTATCAATAGGCATATAAATTAAAACTTGAGATATTAACATATATCATAAACTAATTTCAATATAAAAAGTTAAAACAGTGTTGTCAACTTATTACATGAGATACTTTTGCAAAACAAATAAAGAGATATTATTCTAAAAAAAAAAAAGTACGAAGATCGTATCATTAAGGTAAGACAAATGCTATAACCTCAGTGAAACAAACATTAGCAAAAAGGCTAATCAAGTCTTGTAATTTGATTCTTTGAAAAAGCCCAAATTAAAACAACCAAACCCATTCTCACACTACTTTGTACGTCTCCAATGGTTAGCTATTTGACTAACTATTATGACGTGGACAAGGGAAAACTAAGAGAGAGAGTAGTCACTACTAGCTACTAACAAATAGCTTATCTATTTCACGTAGCCCAAGATTATGTTAGAGGAGTACGTGGGTCCAATAGTGTAAAATAGTTATTTTTCTTATCTCTCACATCCACGTCAGCTAACCATATAGCTAGTAATAGCTATTACCATTCCAGATGCCCTAAAAGAAATTTGTGAAAGTATTTGTTTGTTTCCTGTGCAGAGACAGCTGAAATCTGGGGGTTCTTTTCAGGCCCACTCATTGCTCTCTCTCTCTCTCTCTCTCTCTCTCTCTCTCTCTCTCTCTCTCTCTCTCTCTCTCTCTCTCTCTCTCTCGTCCCATCAAAAAATCTCTTTCCCTCCTAAGCAAGCCATCATCACACTTCAAAAGAATATTAAATGTATATGACATAACTTGTCAATTTATCAATAATTTGTAAACTTTTAATTTTGGATGGTAAAATGACAAAATATATATATATATATAATTATTACTACATATGTTTTCAACAAAAAAAAGATAGAAAAATATATGTATAGAGTTTTATTGAAAATTTTGCATACAGTTATATATATACGTCGTGTTTTACACAAGAAATTGTGTAAAACACAAAGCAAATATAAATATTATTAAAGCCCATCAAAAATTAAAATCAAACAAAAGCACGAGCATAGTAACATTTAAGTTTAGAACTTCAAATCATAGTTTTTAAACCAGTCCGGTAATCGACCCGGGCAGGTCTTCGGGTCATTGAATTACCTGTTCAACCGTCGAGTCACCGGATCAATGGTTAAACCGGATAATTAATTTTAAATTTTTTAAAATTATATATAGAGTAATTTTGTCATATAAATATACATAAAAATATAAAATTAAATGTTTTGTGCATAAAATTTGTATATTAAAGTGTTAATAATATGTATCTCATGATAATATTTACTATATAAAAATATATACATAGTTTTATTTCGAAAAAATTAAAAAATTAAAAAATGTATATCCCGACCGGGTCAAGGTCGAGTTGGCCGGGTGTTGACCGGGTTTGACCAGGTCCTTTGTTGCCCGGTCTGAATAGCCTACCCGGACCGGTTTCCGACTCTGAGTAGACCGGGTCCCGAGTCAACCTACCGGGTCGGTCCGGGTCACAAAACTATGCTTAAAATAAATAAAAACACATTGTTGCAGTATAAACCCAATATTTTTTCATAATGTCATTTAGAGGACACTCGTGCCTATCAAATTATAATTATCAAATTATAGTTATTCGATATTATCAATCGTTACGACATGATATTTTAAACCTTTAAAAACAAAACACCGCATACTCTTTTTATTTTGAAAGACTCTGCAATCGTATAATTAACTAATCATACCTTTTTTGACATATATTTGTATTTTCAAACTCAAATATCACATTATAAATCAATATAAACGAATTACGATATTTTATAATATAATTTTTTTGTAAAAAAAGTGCGACGCTTCCACCGCCTAACAATAGGGGCCATTCACACAATAATTTGACTTTCAAACTATATTTGTGCAACTTATTAAAGTGAAATACAAATTTTGCTATATACATACCAAAGTAGTAGTTTCATTTTATGACCTATATATATATATAGAAGATAAAAAGGATGACAATATTATTGTTACATAAATAAACACTAGCAATTGTGCCGGTGCACCGTGCACCTACAATTTTACCCTCAAAAACAATTAGTGGCTATTGGTAGGGGTATTATGGTCCATTCACTTGATGTCCACCAAGAGTCGATATCTTGAAAACTGAAAAGAGTAGAGAGTATCTCTGACAATACCAATGAGAGCTTTTTTCGTCTTCTTTTGGGAAAACTGCCATAACTAATGGGGCCCCCACCAAAGATCGCAAGCGACGTCGTATTAAGCGTTTACACTTTTTTTCCCATTATTATTACTAATTATCGCCATAATTTTATTTTATTTGTATTAATTTTAGAATATGGCATTTTTCAATGTATATTTATTGATAATATATGTTTGACTAATTATGAGGAGATGCTACGGTCCGGTTATGAGACCATTATGTCGAATATTGTAACATTTAGATCAACTATCTTCGACAGTGAAATGATGATCTAACTGTTACAAACTCGACGGAATGTTGATAGGTGGTTTCGTTAATCTCATAAAACCAAATTTATCAAGTTCGTCATATTTCATAAAATCAAACTTTTGTTCAAAACTCATAAACAAAATATTATATATAAATATATATATTTGTATATATATATATATAATTTTTATATAATTCTATCGGTTTGGTTGTTTTAAAACTAAAATCAAAATTAAATTAAATTTTAAAAATAGAAATCGATAATAATATAAAAACAAACAAAAATTTATTTTTCATTATTTGATTTTTCATCAAATTTTGAACACTACTATCATCTTCTAACCCTTAAAAAAAAAGACAAAAACTAATCAAAAAAAAAAAAGACAAATAAAAAAGACCAAAAAAAAAATAAAAAATACAAAATAAAAAACCATTAAAACCATACATTTTTTGAAATTAATATGAAAAGAAAAAGGGAAAAAATCCACCAAAATTAAAAACACATGAAGAAAATGATTTTCGAGTCTTGATTCGCCACTTTCTTCATGTTTCCCAACAAACTGTACTGTACCACCCTCTTCCTATTCCCCTCTCTTTCTCTCTCTCTCTCTCTCTCTCTCTCTCTAAAACCACAATTGTGCAGTGCCCTTTTTCTGCAGAGTGAAGAACTTCACCCAAGATTTCATTTTTAAAGCCAAAAGTTCATCCTTGGAGTGTAAACAGAGAAAAAAAAAATGGCAGTTTTGCTGCTGCACTGCATTTTCTTCCTATTTCAGCTGGTTTTCTCGCAGAATTCTGAAAACCCTGATGGAGTTGGTCTGCTGGAGTTCAAGGGCTCGCTTGAAAACCCTGAAGCTCTCCTTTCATGGAGCCCAGCATCCCCCCACTGCAACTGGACCGGTGTCTTTTGCACCCATGGCCGAGTGACGTCACTCATCCTCTCAGACTACGATCTCGCCGGTCCTCTCTCCGCCTCGC